AGTATAGAGCTAATTGGTTTTAGGACACAACGTTTTGTTTGTGTGTTTCATAACCGGGATGCAGAGATCATTATATTATCTCTTACAATGAAGATGACACCACACAGGTTTCAGTATATTGGCAACATTTACTTATTTTATTCTAAATTCTCTAGAGTCTGTCAAGATTTCCCATAACGGTCTTTTGTTCTCCTCCAACTGCCTATCGGATGTTTGTGGAGCATAAGTTGTCCAGGTGAGCAAAAGTTGAGTGTTGTTTTTGGTGTATTTGATCAAAACAGTAGACCAAATGCTCATCTTGCCTTGCTTTTATTCCAAATTTACAATGACAGTAATACAGCTCAGGTATTTCTCAACGTTTTGAACCTTAAGTGTTAGGAACAAAGTGTGTGTGTGTGTACACAGAACAGCTCAGTGAAATGCATGAAAGCCTATTTGGCCTCATTTAACTCTTCTGCAAGTTTTTATTGTCATTAGGGTTGAACTTTGTTATTCTTCTTTGGTTGAGACCCCAGCTCAGATTCTAGGGTGAGAAACAGTATATTGATCATTAGATTTTCTAAAATACAGAAGTCAACCAGCAGTTTTTTCTTTTTTATTTGCTTCTTTTTTTTTCTTCATACTTGTTTCTATTTTCTTCAGACTTTATTCCATTTGAAGCACTACATGCTTCAAAAGGACCCCACAGTACAGGAGTAGGGCAGTGAATGGGGCAGAGCAGATAGATGACTGCCAGTGTTTTGTTCTCTCTTTCCCACTAAGCTACACATTCAAAAGTCTGCGGCATTGCGTGAGTGCTGGGGAGCCAATCAACCCTGACGTGATGGAAGAATGGAAAGCACAGACTGGGCTGGATATTCATGAAGGCTATGGACAGACAGAAACAGTATGTTCTGCTTTTCCAATGTTGAGATGTGTGCTTTACAGATACAGTAATAAATTCCATCCAGGTTGCCAAGTGATTAAAATCATTATACACAGTTGTGACTTTTAGGGGAAAAATCAGTTGCAAGGAGCAACACTGGAAAAATTTAGTGTTTGTAAGGCATAGAATAATCATAACAGCTTCGCCCCAAATCCACGGACTGTTTTTCATTCCTGTGGGCTTTGGATGGGAAACTAACACAAAAGGGGTATACTCCTCATTACTGCTGTCCAAATTCTGCTGTAGAATCTACCTTTAGAGCACTCAGTAAAGTTATTTGGAGATGTGGGCATGATGCTGTGGGTCCTGATAGTTCATTTCTAGATGTTTAATCATTTGATATATGATTATAATGAAGACAATTAGGATTTCTTATAGAAGTACACTATTGGCTGAGTATTTTAAACCTAAGCTAAAGACTGAATGTAGAAGCCACAGTTTAATTTTTAAGAAACCAAACGCACATGCAACAACACTTGTTACAGGTGCTGATCTGTGGAAATTTTAAGGGAATGAAAATCAAGCCTGGCTCTATGGGAAAGCCATCTCCAGGGTATGATGTCAAGGTATTGTACCTCTGGCAACTCAGTATCTGTCTCTTGCATAATCACTTTCCATTAAAGAGGGCTGAAAGCTCTAACACAGACTTGCACCGTGTACCATCATCCAGCAGTGAATGGGAGAATGAAGAAGTGCATGTTTCTGCCCTAAACGGAGCATGCAGAATAAGCAGTTGGGGTTCCTTGTTGCACAGTCCTCCCCAGCAGAGATGAAAACCCACTGCTAACTGACAGTTAGGTATCAAACTCTAAGGCAGCAACAGAAATTAAATTGCTGAGTTAAGGAAGAGTGGGAGTGAATATTGTTTCCTGGTAATAATAAAATTGCTGAAGCAAATTCTAGCACCAGATCAATTTGCAATATGGATTAGGATTTTTAGTATCTTTCTTTCAGTTCTTAAGTTTTCTCACCCCATTGTGATCCTCCCTGGGGCCTTACTGACTTTGTTACATGTTTGTATAGTACTTGACATTCCTCAGATAAAAGACAGTGTAAAGTACAGTGGATTAGTAATAATCTTACCTTCAGTTGTCAGAGTAAGATCTCCTACTACTGCAAATCATTTCCCAATACAAAAAAAAAGCTTTGATTATATGTTTTAAATGCACACCAAAATTCTATAATCTTAATTTCATGCTTTTTATTTTGGCTTCAAGATAGTAAAATGCTGGGGTTTTTATTTTAGATTATAGATGAAAACAGTAATATTCTGCCTCCTGGAAAAGAAGGAGATATTGCCATCAGAGTAAAACCTACAAGACCGCTTTTCCTTTTTACTTGCTATGCTGTAAGTATATTTCTACAGTTAAAACAGCTAAATCTCTGTCATAAGGAATCCAATTCTCCATTTCTTTTACTTATAAACTTCTTACCAATCTGGCTGTCTGTGGGGAGGAGAGAGGGATTTTCATTTTTTTTCCTGCAGATGCTTGGTCTACTTACACAAACAATTATGTGTTCGATGAGATTGTCCTACCTAGCAAGTTAAAATCCACTTTCTTTGGTTATGTCCTTAATAAAAATGGAAAAGTTTGGTGGATCCCCTAATCCCAAAGTACTCTTTGGCCTAAGGACTAGAGTCCCAATCTGAGAAGCAGGACACTGTTCAAATCCTTTCCCTCCAGATTTGAACATCATGGAGTATTTCATGCATGGCAATCTTTTTCAGTTTTTCTTCCATGTTTGTTAGAATGTTCATTCCAGCAATCAGTAAAAAAAAACAAAAACAAAACCACAGTGCTTTCAGTTTTGACACCAGAAAAATTTAAAGGGTAATCACCTAAAAGTAAATTCTCAGTTCCATAAGCCTACATATTTTTTCAACTGTCAAGTGGTTCCTTAAGCCATGGGGCATAATGTATTGTGGTTAAAAACAGAAGTCAGTCACAAGGAGGGAAACTTGATTCATTTATTGCAATTGATGAATTTTGTGTCTAGCTTTGTAGCTTAGTAAAGGTGAATTAATAATTCTCTGTTTATCCCACTTGAATCTGATGCATGTGACCACAGTATGGACCAGCCTGAGAAGCTGCAATTTTTGAATATTTGCTTGTATCATAATTTATATGTTAGAATGCAACTTCAGGTATTTTTATTGTAGTTTTCCTATCAAATGCAATTTAATATTTCCTAGGATGATCCAGAGAAAACAGAAGCAACAATACGTGGGGATTTTTATGTCACTGGAGACAGGGGGATTATGGATGAGGATGGATATTTCTGGTTTGTTGGAAGATCTGATGATGTCATTAACTCTGCAGGGTAATTTAAGACTGATTAATAATAAATCATTAAATTTGAATAACACAGATGATTCAGATGGGAAGTTATATTTAAGTGTTATGAAATACAACTAAAAGCCCTTTCCTCCAATTTAAAGATACCGTATTGGACCATTTGAAGTAGAAAGTGCCCTAGTAGAGCATCCTGCAGTGGTGGAATCAGCAGTTGTCAGCAGTCCAGACCCCATCAGAGGAGAGGTAAACAAGTTAATTAAGTACCCTTGTGCATACCAAAGCTAATAAAGCCCAACTTCCATGGGATTTATCTATCCAGGGAATTTTTTTTTCTTTTAAATGAAGAAATTCAAGATAGCATTTCTATTCTATCAGACACTGGAGAATCCACACAGGAAAAAAAATTACCAAGGCACTTGCCCCAAATCTAGTGTAACAAAAACACCGTTTGAAGCTTTCAAATACTTATTTTTCAACCTTTATTACATGTATACAAACTGTCTGCACAGTCCAGACCAATAGTGAGTGCACAGACTTTGGCAAAGCTTTCTGGAGCTGTGCAGTTTGGCAGCAAACATTTGGTTAAAGTTTCAAATCTTAATTGTTGTGTAATACTGTTTCATTGGCATTTAAACCATTGCTGCTGTCACTTCTTTAGGTAGTGAAAGCATTTGTTGTTTTAACATCTGACTATGCTTCACATGATCCGGAAAAAATGATAAAGGAGCTACAAGACCACGTTAAGAAAGTTACTGCTCCGTACAAGTATCCTAGGAAGGTGAGTGCTCAAATATGCCCCAGTAATTTTCACTACTCTAAGACAGTGGGCATTAACTGCTATGGGGCTTATAAGCATATGTTGCTGAGGTTAAGAAAAAGTAAAAATTCAGGTAAACAGCTTTCTTATTTTGTATTGCAATTTCCTCCCTTTCCCAATAGATGGAGTTTGTTCAACAGCTGCCGAAGACTGTTAGTGGGAAAATCAGAAGAAATGAACTGCGGCAGAAGGAGTGGAGAAGAGATTAAAGCATTTGTTGCTTTTTTAAAGGATCAGTTATAAAGATTTACGTAGTAACATAGAGTAAAAGGCATTATATTATGTCCTTCTTCATTTAGGGTTGAATAAATTCTTATCTGATTCCAAGCATTTGGCTGTCCCAGGTGCTACCCTAACAGCTCATAGTACAAAAGCAGCAGACTGATACAGCTGGGATGGGAAACTCATGTAATTGAGACACAATTAGGTGAGGCATGTTAAATAAAGTATTCATGAGCTGTCTTTATCTTTATTGCTACTTAATTTAAAGGATAAAAAAACAGCAGGAGTTTAAAAGAACACATTGCTTCAAGAATCACTTTTGAGAAATGTGACAACTTCTAAAATACATTTTTAAGTTAGTTACAATCTTTGCAAGGATATCTAGGAAAAAAGTGAAGAAAATCTGTATCATTAAAATGTGTTTGAAGGACTGGACTAATAATTTAAAATACATGATAAAGTAGAGATTTTAAAATTTGTAGCAATAGCTGCTCATACTTTAATTTTAGTGCTTAAAGGTTTTATTTGTTCTCTGACACTTCAATAACGAGATACTTTATAATATATTTATATTCTTGTATGCTTGAGCAATTTCCATTTCTCTTTGTGTTAACCAAGCAGTGTCATTTTGGTCCCATTCTCAGAACATCTATCTGACATCATTTGGCTCTCCGTCCTGATTATATTAAGCACGACCAACTTACAGAGTTTAAGATTCAGAGAAAAAAAAAAGCCATTTTCAAGTTCTCATAGAGGGTCGAAGAAAGAAGCATTTTTTGTTGGAAGAATTTCCTGAATTACTAGCGTAAGCTCCAGGAGAGGTTAAAGCATCCTTATTCAGGGTGACACCACTAGATTTCTCTTTCAGAAGCGCGTATTCCCACTTGAAGTATCCACAACCTTTCTTACTACCCTCGTGCTTGCCAACAGGACAACAAAAAAATGCTTTTCCATGATTTGGACCCGCGTTTGACACATACAATTTTTTAGCTCTTCGACCACAGTTACACAGAGGGGGAGTTGGTTTTCCATTTTTCACAGCTCTTACAGACTGATGCGAGTTCACTGTGGAGTTCAGAACGGCAGGAGACACTTGAGGCAGCTCTGAACTTCTTAAAGGTAAGGAATGATCAAAAGATGCAGTTTTCTCTTGATATATAGCAAAAGACCTTTTTTTTGCTGGTGGGAACATTTTTGGACTAGTTGGCTTTCTTTTAGGAACCTCTGAAGGAGTGGAATAATTTCCAGTTATTGCCGATTGGGCTGAAGTAGCATTTACTTTTGCAGCTGGTAATTTAAAAGCTGAAAAATTTGAAGTCTGCCTTTGTCCTGTTCCTACATTATAGACAGTAGTATCAGGACTTTTGTAAACAATAGATTTCAGAGGTTCCAGGGGTATTATGGTTTTCTCCAAACTTTGATTATCTGAACTCATCGCAGCTGATTGCTTTGAAATTGTTTTCTCTTCAATCATTGTCAAAATATCTGTGTTTGAGTCATCTTTGCATTGAACACAGTCTGAATTCTGTTCACATTGGGATTCTGGTATTAAAGCGACATCTTCCCAGTCAGTCAGCAGGGCTAAGCAATCAGAACTAGTACTGATTTCTTCACTGGAGATGTTAACTGAGGAGATGGTCGTGGAGACGAGCACTAGTCCTGACCCCTGCCCTGGGGGGTTATATCTGGCTGTTCTCAGAGGCTGCCTACTGCTCAGTCCTTGCTGAATGCCTGTTGATAGAGCATGGGGAGACTGCTGTGCCTGCTCAAGAGGAACAAGAAGTCTGACAGCAGATGTTGAAGAGCTTTGGGATTGAGCACGTAACTCAGTCCTTGAGCTGCTGCTCAGTACAACATGGACATCTGCAGAGGGATCAATGCAAGTAGTCTGTTGTTCTTCAGTTTGTACATTAGAATTTATCTCAATTCCAGCAATACTGCTCTGGGTTTTCACAGCCCCAGAGTTTGTTTTGCAAGTTCCATCTCTAGATGTTTCAGGTCTGCTGTTACTTCCCAGAGGAGTCTTGTCAGTGAACTTTATAGTCAGTGTTCTGGAAATTAAATTATTCTTTGGATGTGCCTAGGGAGTCCGTAAACAAAAGGAGATTTTGGAACACGGATACCCAGAAGTTTTAGGAATTAATATGCAAAATTAATAAGCATATCAGCCTAGGGACATTCTATCCAATTCATAGCCAAGATGCTAAGTTTATTATATGAATTGCTCACCCTTCATCTGTATTCCAGGCTACAAAGCAAAAAGGGAAGATCCAAAGTAGTTACTAACCTTATCCAAAGATTTAGTGACCTTCAGCACACATCCATCACAGATCAGCCTCCAGGCAAGACGGGCAGTATTGCGAGAATCATCCAACCCTTCAAAAGTGTGGTTACATTAATATCTTTAGTATCTTTTTAATATCTCAAACTAGTACCGGGAATAGTTCTTATCAGAGCAAAAATGTAATCTAGGGAAGCCTTACATAAATGGCAAGGATTCACAGAACTCAAACAGTTACCTAGTTCAAAAAGGGAAGTAGAAGTAAATGAAAAAAAACCTGTCTGTGCTGAAACATCTGAAGGACTGATCCATAGAGCTGTATATATGTACACAATGTTTAAAATCCTTGCTCTGTTTTATTAATCATGTAAAAAAAAATCATACTGTATTCAGCTATTCTCTCATATGCTGTCCAGAGTTATCAGGTAAAAATCAAGTTTCTTTTATCCTTCTTTCACCTCTTTTCTTTTGCACCCTAACAACTGAGAAATTCAACTCTTGTTGAATATTCACTCAGTAGCACTAGGGAGATTTCAGAAATAAAGCATGAGGTCAGAAATAACAAACTCCGATGTTTGAAGCATCTTTTTATTGGGATGTTTTTGCTGGACAGAATATTGCATAGCCTGGAAACAACAGTTATGAGAGTAATGACTAGTTATTACTAGCTGCTTTAGTTTAGCTAACTAAAGCTAATTAGTAGCTATTTAGCTTTATAAAAAAACTTATATGTTAAAATGAGGGTCATCATATCATACTTACCACAATGCTCCCGTCCTGCAAAAGCTATCCCCAAATCCTGCAAAGCACCACTTAGCCCTTTAGGCTTCCTATTATAGAAGGCCTAAGGAAAAAAGAAACATAAAGCATTTCAAAACCTCTTCATAGTGAGGTGAAAACCACCTCGGATACATCACCTTATGAAAAATAAATCTCACAAGGCAATTGTGCAAGTCAGGTATCTTCACTGTATAGTCAAGATAAATAAGTGCAAGACCATAAGTGACTGACTTAGTAACAAATGAGAAGGGAAAGAACCATGAATCCCTTCCCTCAGTCTTAAGCTAATCCAGCCTGTCCTAGCTCTGGAGTCAGTCATTTGCACTTTGTGATTTACACTGATGAAGGCCTTAAGAGCACAGCACTGAGGAATACAACTATAAATAATAACTGGGGATGTTTATCCTGTTGTGTATTGCAAAGGCATGGGTATTTATATGTTGGGCATAGGTACAAATTCTTTCTAAATGAGAAAACATGAGTGTTGCTACTCACCCCCAGTACCTCATTTGATCACAAGAAAGGAGGAATATTCACACTGTTTGTCTTTGGAGACTTAATCTGCTACCTAGGTTATGAGCCAAAGCTGCCAGTGTCAGAACAGGCAGACTCTGGGATGACCCTTCAAAAGCTTCCCTGACTATGCAGGACAAGGTACACTTCACGGCTGTTACCCCCAGGTTAGACCTCTGTTGCACTATAGGCTATGTAATAAGATATACAGTCATTATTTCACTATTATTTATGCTATTCAGAATGTAGTTTCTGGTCCAAGTGCAGCTTGTATCCTAGACCTTGAAGTACCTCTGGGCAGATGATGATGATGACTGTTTTCTATGCAGTAATGAGGCACAAGAACACACAAAATGACAGAAGTTAGGAAGCAAACAGAGCAAAAGATGTCAGGAAAGATGATGATAATGACTGTTTTCTATGAGGCACAAGAACACACAAAATGACAGAAGTTAGGAAGCAAACAGAGCAAAAGATGTCAGGAAAGCAAAAGCAGTCAGGAAAGCAACCCCTCCAAGGGTTAAGTTCTGCTAGGATTATCATTCATTTATCTAACACCACCAGGCTGTTTTCCTAGCATTAAGATTTCTATTAGAATTCACACAGTTCTAGAGCATGCAGTTTGCTATTGACCAGTAACAACTGAGAAAGAAAACAAATGGGTTAGTCTAGTCACTGGAACATACAACACTGGCTCGGATAAGAGTTAAATTTTGAGATGATAATACAGCTATAAATGTTTTGCAGTCTGCCAGTCTCCTCACCCTGTATGTTGCTTTGAGATCAATCCAGGAATTTAAAAGGTCAGGTTTTCGCAGCTGCTTCCTTTTACACTCATACTGCAGACACACACCCAGGTCCCAGTCTGCACAGGAAAAACCCACAGATCATCCATCACTAAAGAAATGGCCTAAAATCTACATGAACACGGCTTAAAATCTACATAAAGGGACATAACCTCAGCATACTGCAAGTGTCCCATGCTGCTGGACAGCAAGCACAGGCTAGTGGAGCCTTTGTACAAGGGAAGCACTGGGGTTGCTGCAGTGGGATATCGGGGTGTGTGGGTGCCTCTTGTCTGGACAGAATGACTTCAGACGGGTAAAGATCTCACAGGCCTCATCAAATCATTAAGAATGGTGACACAGTTCACTATATGTAAACCAGAAAAACTTAGCAATGTCAGATCCTGGAGGCAAAGATGCAGAGAAAGCATCAGGATTCAATAGATCTCATATTTTCAGTCTTACCCCAATATTGCACATCTTTAATACCTAATAACATGATTTTGGCTCCCTAGAAGGGAAAACACAATCTCACCAGCACCACCAAGTGTTAATTTTTTGTGTGTATTACTCTGCAGAAAAATCAAATAAAAATTTTATTTACCTGTCCAAGTAGCAAAGGTGCATGCTTTTGCTTCTGAAGTGGAATTACTTAGAGTATCTGTACCGAATATAATTTTCTTCTCCTTTTGTATCTTTTGAATCCATTTCAAAAATTGTGATAAACAAATGTTTAGAGGGACCCCTTCATCAACTTGATTCTTTATGAAACAAAACAAGAAGTATGTGTTACTATGTGCTGAAGTTAATTTTATTTCTTTTTAGCCCTTTACAGGTTTCTTTAAATAAACTAGTAAGTAGCAATGATAATGTTGTAAAATAATGCTAAAAAGCAATTATACCTGGGTTATGCCCGTGAGTTCTGTACAAAATTCAGAGAGAATAGGATGCTCCTGGGGCTGGACATAGGTGTGGAATTCAGATTCAATCTCTCCCGTTGAAGTGTTTAACAGGACTGCTGGAAATTCAACTGTGACAAAAACAGAACGAGAGGAACAAAAGCCCCAAAACGCAAAGCCAGAAAGGTTAAAGCGGCCACGGGAATGAACCCGTTTGCTTTAAACCGGCGTTGAAACGTCGGGGACTGGAAGGAAGGTGGCGCGGTGAAGACGCGGCGTTAA